GGGGGGGGGGGGGGGGTAAAGTAAAAGGAGGAGAAAGAGGAAGGAAAGAAAGAAAGAAATCGGGAATCCCATTCCTGATGTCTGGGATGACATAACAGCATCCAAATCTCGTAATCTCTGAACATCTAATGCAAAGTTTTTTAAAACTTTGGCTATTGATAGAGTAAGGCATATCTATTAATTAGAAGAAAGTAGTGCAGAAACCATTTCCCAAACATTATCCAAGGGGAAAATTATCTGAAGGTATAAATTTCACGCTGTCCTTCTCTCATCCCTACCTCAAGTCTATGCTCTTAGCTGGCTTCAGCCCTAGACCACTCAGCAGCCTAAGGACCGGGCTGCCTGTCTAACCTGATGCTACCCCTCTTTGGGGAAAGTTGGCCTTCAGGTCCCCCAGCAGACCCAGTTAGGGGGTAATCTGGCAGATGTCCTGCACCAGGGGACCATCCTGCCATAAAGCCTGTGAGGACAGGGTCCTTCGTCATCCTTCTTGAGACACAGGAAACACCACATTGGACCAGTTTGTCCCGCACAGTAGCTGTGGACAGCAGCATCTATGAATAAATTGCACATTTCTGTTTTGTAGTTGTCCATCAGGAACCCACCACCCATGAATGACCAAAACCCTCCCTAAGTCTGTTCATATTTTGCTCCAAATAAAAAAAAATAAAATAATGTAAAATAAACAGACCATACAATTTACTATAAGAATAAAAGAAGCACTATCATTTATTTTTCCTAAAACCACATTTTCGCGTTCTATAAAGATTCGACAAGTTCGCATCCTTGTCCTCTTGCCGGCTTCCCTAAACGGAATATGTGGAAGAAGGTCAGAAGGTGAGAACAATGTAGCCTAAAAATTATATACAAGCCTAGCGAAGGGAATAATGAGGCACACCTTAACTGACCACACAATAGAAGATTCACTCATGACTTATTTTATTTATCCTTGTATTAAACATCCATACGATGAAATGTTTATCCCCATTGAAAACATTTTAGAAGAATGACATAGTAGATGAATAATTAGCGATATGGAAAACTGTCCTGACATGCTGCCTGGTAATAAAGAAGAATTATATCACAGACCCATTTTGTTAAAAATGATAAGGCAAAATAAAAATATTTGCGGGCAATACACTATAATACTCATGGTAGAGAATCTTTTCTTCTTTGTATTTTTCCCCCTTCTCTTTTGGTTCATCTGTATTTTCAAAACATTCATAATAAACATAAATTACATTTTAATGTAAAATATATATAATATATAATGGCTTATGTTTTTGTAAATATCTGAAAAACACAGGCATGTTCTGTATAACAAGCAGCACACAATACCTACAGTTGTTAAACCCTTTATGTGTGTGTACCAAAACACATGCTTCTCTTTAAATGTCTACAGCAAGAATAGGGTAGCTGTTTTTTGATTAATTTTAGTAAGAAAGCCCAGGAGACATGCATGCATTTTGTAGCAATCATCCATCCAACATTAATTCGTTAAGTCGATATTAATGATGTGCCTTTTCCACGCCGGGAACTCTGGCAGGCACTCAGGAAGCAAGGATGA